TTTCCTCTAATATTTTTCACCCATATGCAGATTTTTTTCCATCCATGTGCGGAATACATTTTACGTGCATCAAGGCATGAGTGAATGTGCACCACCAGTAGAAACAAAACACTTAGCTGTGAGTGCTCTGCTAATCAGCTGGGTGGCATTTGAATTCTGAATCTCTCCTGAAAACTGCACAAGCGCACAGTTTGCAGGGAACACGGGTGCTGAGGTATGCTTCAAAGAGCAGAATTTAACTTGTAGTTTATGTAGTGTTTTGGGATCCTTTGGCATGAGAAGCACTCTAAAATGTAAGCTGTTGATCTCTGACATACCCTCTCTTGGGAGATTATTTTCCTGATTTAAAGAAGACTGAGGCACTTTCCACCCTCTGATATCTAGGAACCTATGTTCTTACGGCATTTCCAAAACTACCAAATGTCTTTGGAGCATCCCACGATTGAAACTGTAGACTGTAGGTCCTAGTTCAGTGATGGGAAACCTGCGGCCTACTGGGGTTCTATGTATGGCCCATGAGGCATTTTTTGTTTACCGTTGCCCACACCCAAGGCTGCCAGACTTTGCTGGTTTTCATCTGCATTTTTTTTCCTACCGATAGTACAACAGTGGCATACACCAGGCGAGGGCACGTGAAGTGAGGTGCGGGCTGACTGCACACAACATTGTGAGAGCCAGGCGCTCCCTCTGCATCCAGTCAAAGCACTGCTACGCTTCAGTCGGCACCCTCTGCAAATCCTCGGTACGCAAGAGCAGTAACACTGCCCTATCCCGGAGGACCGTCTTGGTTAGGACAATCTTGCAACCCACTGAGAGGAAGAATGGCCACTTATGCAGTCCACTCACTAGCCTAGGTTGCCCCTTCCTGGCCTAATAGGGTAACACTCCTTCATCCGAGTTTCACCTCAGCGTGCTATTGTATAGCAAGAGGCAAAGAAACCAGGTTCCAACATGAAACTTGGCAAATGGAACCAAACCCCATGATTTACGGCCCCAGAGATGGTAACTTTATGGGCCAGAAGAGGTATTCTAATGGCCAGCTAAGCACTGTAACAATGTTGTGCAGCTGGACTTAGCAACACCAGGCTCCCTGCCAGTAACCTACACATGCATTACCCTACCATTTGGAACCTCTACGAGTGCACTGTGGTTTTTATTTAAGACTCTCCTCTTAGTACCCAACTGCTGATTTTCTAGCCGCGAGGCTCCTTTGGGTTCGCTCACATCACAGCAGAGACAAAACATACTCATCATCATTCCTTGGGAGTCTTAAGACCAAGAAGGCTGACTCAGGGCTTGCTAGATTTGCATCCAGAAAGACCAGTGCCAGAGTCTTCAAAAGGGACAACTTCATTTAGTCGCCAACACTTGGAGTGCCCGATTTGAGACACCTCCACAGGGCCCCCGACTTTCAGCACTTTGAGACATTTCAGAAGGGAGGAGTCAGCTCTTTCTGAAATTGGAGCCCCCTTTTGGGGCCCCAAGTGGAGTCCATTTGAGGCATTTGAAATCACTCGTCTATTCTGATAATTATAGCTTGCTTACCCATTAACTTCTCCCGTGAAGAGAGCACAGCATTTTACACAAGGTGGGTAATAATGTACATAAACATGGACATACATAGTCAGACCAATGGTCCATCTAGCCCAGTATCTTGTTTTCCAGCAGTGGTCAGATGGGTCAATGAGAATGACCATAACAGGGAAAGTATCAAGTGATCCATCCCCTGTTTTCCAGATCCAACATCTAGTCACCAGAGGCTTAGGTACACACAGAGCCTGAGGGACATCCCTGACTATCTTGGTTAACAGCCTTTAACAGACCTCTATGAACTTGTCTAATTCCTTTTGGAACCCATTTTTAAGTTTTGGCCTTCTTCTCGTGCTCTGGCAACAAGTCCCACAAGTTGTATGCTGTGTCGCTATTCCCGAAGGGGGAAAGTGAGTCACAACGAGGTTAAAGGACTCTGTCAAGAACAGACAGGGAGTCAGTGGCAAAGTGAAGGACTCCTGCCCTCTAGTCTTCCATACTTCTCTATTTCCCGTGCCCTTTTGTTGCAACTATACTTACAGGCAGCATGAGCATTGTCCCTGGGGGTCCTGGTAACCCATCTGCTCCTGGAAGACCAGGCCGGCCAGGAGATCCCTGCAGAGGGGAGAAATAAAGAGAAATCATTGCTGCATGGCATATATATATTATTTCATTCAATCTCCCTCATAGGTTGCTGCAACAGGACAGGCCTTTACTTCTCATTAGCCTTGGCAAAGCCAATTACGCTCAGAGATAGTGTACATTTTGATGGTATTCAGATCCGTGGCAAGGCTAGCAGAAAGAGATATTTAATCAACACACCGAAGGCAGCTGTAAATACACATGGTAGATCTTAGCAATTCCATCCCCCTGCACCCTTCCTTCCAATGGTTCACATTTGCCTTGAGCAATAAAATCCTCTGCAATGTTCCAGATCAGTGGCATGAAGGTTTCATTGAGTATATTAAGTCCTATTAAACCCGTATATGAAACCTTGTGTAAAATGGAACATAGAGCAATGAAGCAGAAATGCACTAAAATGTATTTATTCTTCCACGTTTCATGGACTGGTTCACCTCTTTCTTTTAATTGTTTTTGGTGAGGGGGGAGGGTTGTCCTACAAAAATATTTCCATCTGCATTGGGGCAAAAAAAACCGCTGGTGTAAACCACTGACTTCAGTGGAGCAGCACTGATTTACATCTGTCAAGTATCTTGATCTTAAGAGTCTATAGGAAGTGCCTACACATTGAAATTTTCCCTAGAGGAAACTCTAAAATAACAACATCGCTCCATCTTTCCAAAAAACAGCCTCCGAATTATTTACGCTCACAATTATGTGCCTGCAAAAAGTCCACATTTGCACAGACATCCAACAGTACAGCATACACATGAGGACACCTAACTACTCAAAGTGCATGCATAATTCCAATTTCACGCTAGCATGCAAAGCTGTGGGTGTCGTAGGTGATCCGTAGGGCCCTGCACAGACACAAAATTGTAAATCCACATATGCAAAAGTGAGCTCCAGATATCAGCAACCACATTTGCAGATGTAAATACCCACAGATATAAAGCAGACACCCGCAGATTTACAGGACTCTGTTGATCCCAACCTATGAAGTCAATACTACGTCTAGACTGCATCCCTCTGTCAACAGAGGGATGCAAATCAAGCACTTCGAAAGTGCAAATGAAACTAGGATTTAAATATCCCGTGCTTCATTTGCATAAACATGGCTGCCGCTTTTTTTTAAATGGAGCTTTATCGAAAAAACGACAGTCTAGACACGATCTTTCGAAAATACAACCCTTTATTGAAAGATCCCTTATTCTTCATAAAATAAGGTATACAGGATCTTTCGAAAAAGGGTTGTACTTTCGAAAGATCGCGTCGACTGCCATTTTTTGTCAAAAAAACTCAGATTTGAAAAAAAGCGGCCGCCATGTTTATGCTAATGAAGCGTGGGATATTTAAATCCCTGCTTCATTAGCAATTTAAATGTGCCTAATATACATCTCTCTTTCGACAGAGAAGTGTAATCTAGACACACCCTAGGAGTCTTGCCATTCATTTCATTTCGTTTCAGATGTAATCCACCATCCACCATCCTCCTGAAGTTACTTAATAGCGTCCCATGTTAATTTTACTTTCCCTCTCTTCTTAAATGAAAGCTGCACAAACCCCATCCCCCCAGGGAAGTTCGCGGGAGTAGGATATGTGAGTTGCACCAGCCATTCTAAGCCTTTAAAAATACTGTCTCTCTGAGTATGTGCAAAGGATGCTTTTTGGGGGGGGAGGAGCTTCCGTCTGATTTTGCACGCTAATGATGGTATTGTCCATTTAAGCACTTTCCCCCCCAACGTGCTGAAGAATCTGAACTCTTCGATGGAAATATAAGAAACACAGAGTCTTGCTCATTTTCATTTTCAAATCAATGATCTGCAAACCCAGTCACCATCACCCCAGGCACTCATCAAAACTAGGGCACCATCATCCTGGCACAAGTTTTTATTTCTCCACTCAAGCTCATCTGAGGAAGTGGGTTGTGCCCACCAAAGCTCATGATACTCGCTATATATTGGATAGTCTCTACATATATTGTATGTCTACACTACAGCGTTATTTTGAAATATCTAATTTCAAAATAGTTAATTCGAAATAGCTTATTTTGAAATAACACGTCTACACACAAAATGCATTTCAAAATAGCATTTTTCTATTTTGAAATAGCGCGTCCACACTGAGTGGACGTTGAATCACATTTAAGGCTGGTTGGAACCAGTTCCAGAAGGGCATCAGGTCAGAAGTTACCTTGTGGCCAGGGCAGCCAGCAGGGCACCCTGGGAAGGGCTGGAAGCCCCCTATTTCGAAATAAGCATCTACCCAGCGCTTATTTCGAAATAGCAGTTTCGAAATTGGCACTATTCCTCGTGGAATGAGGTTTACTAATTTCAAAATAAGCCCTCCGCTATTTCGAATTAATTTTGAAATAACGGAATGGCTGTATAAACGCTAGGAAAGATATTTCGAAATAACGTCTGTTTCGAAATAACTCTGCTGTGTAGGCATACCCTAAGGTGCCAACAGGACCACTCATTGTTTTTAAAGTTACAGACAAACATGGAAACCCCTCTGAGACTGGCACAAATGAGTCGCCTTTGTTGACTGGAAATGTATGGAAGCCCCTAGAGAGCAGGTGCTGTCGATACGCATAAGAAGAGACAGTGGATGAGAAGCTGGATAAGAGTCAAGAGGGTGCCCTTGTAGCCAAGAAGGCTAATGGCACATTAGGGTGCATTAGGAGGAGAATTTCCAGCAGATCTAGAGAAGTGATTCTTCCCCTTTATTCGGCACTGGTGAGGCCACATCTGGAGTACTGCATCCAGTTCTGGGCCCCCCACTATAGAAAGGATGTGGACACCTTGGAGAGGGCCCAGCAGAGGGCAACCAAAATAATTAAGGGGCTGGAGCACATGACTTCTGAGGAGAGGCTGAGGGATTTGGGCTTATTTAGTCTGCAGAAGAATAAGGGGGGATTTGAGAGCAGCCTTCAGCTTCCTGAAGGGAAGTTCCAAAGAGGATGGAGAGAGGCTGGTTTCAGCGGGGACAGATGGCAGAACAAGGTCTCAAGTTGCAGTGGGAGAGGTCCAGGCTGGATATTAGGAAAAACTATTTCCCTAGGAGAGTGGTGAAGTACTGGAATGGGTTACCTAGGGAAGTCGTAGAGTCTCCAACCCTAGAGATTTTTAAGTTCCAGCTTGACAAAGCCCTGGCTGGGACGATTTAGTTGAGGTAGGTCTTGCTTTGGGCAGGGGTCTAGACTCAATGACCTCCTGAGGTCTCTTCCAGCCCTAGGATTCTATGAGACAGTCACTGCTACAAAGAGCTTGCTATGTAAATAGCAGGAAAGGCTGGGGAAGAGACAGAGACCCAGAGAAACTAGCAGTGACATTTTCCATTCTTGAAAGTGGTTCAGGACTAGATTTTTAAGGGTATTTAGGCACCTACCTCCCACTGAGTTTCAATCAGACTTAGGCTCCTATCCACCTAATTCACTTTTGAAAACAAGACTTATGGGATGGTATGTCCACACAGCAATAAAAGATCCGCGCAATGACTGTGGCAGGTCCAAGTTAGCATAAGGATTCATGAAACACAGGCTTTGGGGTTGTGAAACTGCAATGTAGACATTCAGTCTCAGGCTGGAGCCCACGGTCTGAGATCCCACGAGGGACAAGACTCTCAAAAACCTAGGCTCCCAGCCCATACCCCAACATCTACACTGCTATTTCATAGCCCGTCGTCCTGAGCCCCCCACGCCTGAGCCAGCTGACTGGATCTCTCAGTCTCAATGCCCTGGATATTGTTCAGCACAGTGTAGACATAAGGCTCCTAAGTCAGCGAGGTGCTTTGAAAAGTATATAAGTGACCTGACCAAGACCACTCAGTGAGTCAGTGGCAGAACTGGGAACTGTACCCAAGTGTTCCAGTCTTAGTTCTGTGCCTTAAGCACCAGCCTATGGTGCCTCCTTACATGGTCTATGTGCTGCATCTATTTTTATATTAGAATATGGTTCTCCTGCATCCCTTCCTTTTCTCATTCTCTCTGCATTATGTGGGCTTGTTTGCTTGTTTTAAACTATGCTCGCTCTTTTCTCTGTGGATTTTTTCCTCTTATTTATTGTGCTCTTTCTCCCCCTCCGATAACAAGGCAGCTGAATTTTCAAGACCGTGATTAGGGAGTCCAGAATTAGGGAAAACAACTTTGCCCCACCCTACCCTGGAACACACATACACCAGTCAGACTATTTATATTCACGCTGCCCCATAATTAGAAGCACTGGATAATATTACAGATGAAGAATCCAGGCTTTGTGTCACCCTCCAACTGACCCAGAATAATAACACAGCTTGAAAACCTGCAGTAAGCATCCACTATCGCTAGTGATTTATCAACAGAAAACACAAGTAGCCCCAGCCTGGGAAGGCAGGCTGCATATCAAATCAACCTATCCATTTTTCAAAACTAGCTCAGGATGTTACTTCCACTTTGTTTATTTAGCCACTTGGACACCAGAGTCCCTGACTCAGCTGATGGGGAGCTGATAGGTAAGCAGAGCAGTCCCATCTGCTGGATTAAAAGCACAATAAATAATTTAGGGCAAAACTGTCTTATATAATAACTCTTTCTCCCCACCTCGCCCCCACTGTCCCTGATGTATGATCAATCACTTCTGGGTTTGTTTATCTATCTTCGTGTAGTCTGTCAAACGCGTGGTGATAAAATGTTTTTTACACAAGCATGTTTATCGGGGGAGGGGGAGAGGAGGGGTATTTTTAAAATATCCCAACTTTAAAGTCAGTTCAGTTTTCCAAAGGTCTTTGAGTAACTTTACCCACAAACAGTTGCACGCCAGTGTAAACAGCTGTGGGGCCAATGAAGTCAATGCGGCTTTGCTGATGTACAATAACGAAGAAGTGCAGCAAACTATCCCGCTGCTTGTGAATGCTAATTTAGTACCTCAAGAAAATGTCCAGCCCCAAGAACATCATGCTTTGGTACCGTGATCGCCTTAGCAGAGATACAGGGAGAGATGGGTGAGCATCAGAGT